TGCGCGCCAGGCCAACATTCGAGTGTAGCCTGAATGGGAAACGACGATTGGGTCGTCCAAGGGTGACATGGAGAAGATTGTGCGAGTAGGTTGTGCATACAATTAGGTTCACAATTCTAGAAATGTATTGGTAAGTGGTTAGTTAGTTAGAGATAGAGATGAGGTCATTAATTTTGAAGGAAAGTAGCATCACCTACGCATTTTTCTTTGTAGCCGTATAATCTCTGACAGTTTCACATGAGTAACTACGTAAATTTTCATTTCGTGCTGTAATAGACCGAATATTATAAATTCTTAAGTATGTTGGTCTTTATCGTAAAAAGTTTTTAGTTAATGCATACGCAGCTGTAAAACCCCAACTAATATGTACGGAAGCAATCGGCAGGAGGCCTTGGACCTAGGTTTCATACATGTTGGCACTCACTAGTCAGCAAGGCGTTTCCGCAATCTTGAAGGAACTCATATCCCATCGTAGATTCAAACCCGCAGCACCCGGTGCTACTGTCTGTCTGTTTTCGACATAGAACTTTGCACATATGTGCGCCTGCCCGGTACTGCAGGCAGAGACGTTACCAGTGAGTTATTCAGACTCGCGACTGACCTGTAGGACCGTAATGAATATTCCAATTGGACACTAGGTTGTAACTGATGTCATTTGTCTAGTCAGTTTGGTACAGACTAAGTTCTATCAGTCAAGTTTGCACTGTGGCGCCAATGCTAAATGACTCGCTATTAATTCTTCTCACTAAAACTCCAGGTGATTTCATCCTGATATTCTTTCAAGATGTGAATGTTTGTTATGCATATTTAAAAGTGAATTTGGAACAGTCACTACTAACTTTTTCCTACCTAGCTGTCTAATTTAAATAGTTCCCCTTATAGTCTTTTTGATTTATTGGTTCGATAAACTATTGTGTAAATAGTACACTGCTGTATTCAATTTGTATTTGAATGTTGAAGCATTCCAAAATTGGAGGCACAATTCACCTTAAGGTTTTTTTTTCTGTACCACATTACTTTTTTGTTGGTTTAACATATTGATTTTTAAGGCAATTAAATTACTGATATAAGTATAAAACTTGGTCACTGTGGTAGTTATACTCTACCACAGTGCCCAAGTTTTATACTTATATCAATAATACATATGGTCTTCCTACTAGTAAGCTTATCAATAAACTCACACGACTTTCTCAAACAGAAGCAAGATTCACAAACCATCGAGTTTTTAACAGACGATGTTTAAAAAATCATATAATTCCAAAATATTTACATATACGCACTCCAATTACTTCAAGAAAAAATATCGTCAGCAGCTGAACATCTCAGTAGATTATGTCTAAGGGAAGAACTACATCGAATCACTGTGAAACTAAATAATATACGAAATGAAATCGAAAAACTCAAACAGAAACTCAAATGTATGGACAATGACAAAGATTATGTAATTGTTGTTGAAACATCCGAAAATGCTAGAGAATCAGCATTAAGAAAATCAAAAACCACACAAATCAATTGAATTACCTTAATGCATTTCGACAAAACAACAAGAATATCTATTTCATCTGAAACGTGTAATGTACAACATATCTCGGACATTATGATCACGCGTGTACTTGTCATGTACATTTATATAGAAGGCAGGAAAGCATGAATTATTACAAAATTGTTCAAATTGTTATGTGTCTTCTTAGCCAAGTTCATTTTTAACAGTTTTAAAAATTTGGGCATTGGATGTATGATATTCACTATAATAACGGTTTTTTGTATTTCCCAATATCGTTTTGTCTTTCATTCATTGGGAAATACACAAAACCTTTATATTGAATAATTCAAATTAATGCAGGTCAGGGTCACAGATAAAAAGCAGGGAGATGACGTAAGGGTATGGTTTGTTTTTCAATCTAAAATTTCGATAAGGAGTATTATTCGTTTTCTTTTACGCCAGCTTTAGAGTATTCAACTTCTTTAGTGTTCTTGAAGAAATATCTTTTCACCTTGAATAAAGGAATAATATGCGGTCTAAACATGAAAAATGAGTTTTAAGCTTGATACTGTTACACTTTACGTGGTGGTGTCACTTTCGTCTAAACCGTTTGGGTTGGTGTAATTTGAAATCCTACAAGGAAATTGTATTTCTTTTTAAGTCATGGAACTTTATCAAAGGATGTATGTTACATAAAAGTGTGAATTGTATATTGTAAGCAGTTCTGAAACTGAGTGGTGTCGTTATTGTTTTTAGTAACTGGTGTAAGCATGTATTATGGTTTGAATTTTGATAAATTTTTGTGATTCAAGAAGATAATTTTAGTTGTTTATTAAATTTGACGATACATTTTATAAATTGAACAGTCTGTACACATTGCATGAATTGATTCGAATTGAAACCTGCTAACCCATTGTATTTCAACAATGGGGTTTGCAAAGTAACTTAATTTTTTTAAGTTGTTTATACTGTTAATTGAGACCAAATATTGACTATAAGTTACTGCTTTAAATAAAATTGTTTATTTCTAGGTTTTCATTAGTGTTTTCTGTTATACACAAAAATTCTTGTGATTTTGGTCTCCCCTAAGTAAGTTTTAGGCAAATCGTATTCTCAGTTGTCAACCTATGCTGTCCATTTTCCGTATAAAATGTGCTGAAGCTTTGTGCCCATTTAGAAATTGACCGCCAGTTGTAATCATATTTTTGGGATGAAAGTATCATACGTGTATCATGTATGCTATGCCATAAAACTTATTTCTTCTCACTCAATAGCAATGTTAATCTTATCAAATCTCTAACTTTGTACCGTTGAGTACCACGTAATTTGAAACTTTTATTCCTACTTCTAAAGCCACTTCCGAGTAATTATATCAATCATGTCACCCCCTATTACTCAATAATAGACCACTACATTTTTGGTAAATTTAAATACGACTGTACAGCCTCTGAAGATGATTTCATCGATAAAGAAAATTTTCTTCGCTGAATTTGTCTTTTGTTTTCTTCATAATTCAATGGATATTTTCGGTGATTCTAAAGTGTATTTTAGGATGTTAGCATAGAGAAGTGAGAATTATAATAATTACTTGGATAATTTTGATCGACAAAACTCAGATTCATATCGTGAGGGTAGTTAGTACAGATTACTTAAGTGACTAAAAGGGGTTATAATAAGGGCCTCCAAAGCCTCAGGATGGTCGGGGGTGGGTGCCTTGCGCTGCTGGTTGGCCACCCCTCCGCACACCTCTTGAAATGCTCCCATATGACCGGGCGTCTCACATAGCCTCTCCTGAGGAAGTCCTACTCACTGCCTTCACGTGGCGGAGGTGTTTCTCACCAAAGTGAGAGGGCGAAAGCGGATGCCCGGCGCTCTTCACCGGGTTGACTGTCCATTGGATGACAGTCTAGGGGAGATGGCTAAACCCTGATTCCAAACCTCCAACGACTGGCGTATGAAGCCCACTGGAGCTCACCGGCAGACGTATGGACAAAGGGCTTGTTGGATGTCCTGGATGTCTGGCCCCATTCAAAAAGGCGTATGAACCGAACTCCGGTCACCGGCTGCCAATGGATAGTGGACTCCCTACTCCACTCCTACTGCCTTGTAGGTCACACTTGGTTGTGTAAAGGCTAGAGCTGCACTCTCAAACAAAAGGCCGAGCAATTCTGGGGACATCACTCGTACCAAATTCCCATGAAACTTGAACTCTCTCGAGATGTTCATGAAGCCGGCTCATCCTCCCGTAGGAGATAGCCGAAGTAAAGTAAAGTAAGTTATAATAAATTTGGTGGTTGTCGTTAATTTGTCAGTCTTAGGCTTACAGATAAATAGATAGCATCTTTGAATAGTATCGAGCAAACTTTTTGCTTGTTTACCTTGTAACTTTTAGACAGTAATGGTAACACTTTCAGTAACTAATAATATTCACTGATGGTGGATGTTCGGACACGTCTTTATATTCCTCATACAACAGTTTAATTTTGTTACCTACCTGTCCTATAATCAAGACCAAGCTTATTCATCACAGCTTTCCCTTGCATTTTCAAGCTTTTTTCAGCTCACTAAATATCATGATGCACTACCATCTCATTGATATGAAAACAAAGTTCAATTGTCTCAGTGCTCCTGATTGACCATTTTATTGTCTTTCCTTTGAAACTAGACTTTTTTGTTTGCGTTGAGTATATCTGCAGTTACATAACTTAACAGCAACTTATCTTCATTGTTGACACATTACTGCTTGTCTTTTGGCTAAGCTATTAGATAGACTAGGACATTTAACTGTCATTGTGGTTCGATACATTTTAAAATTTGGTAAACTAACATGAACTGTCTACGATAATTGTTAATCTTAACTGGGTTTTTTTATTTCATCGATGAGTGTGTGTTTTGCTGATTAAGTACAATAGGACTGTCATCTACAACTTTAATTCATTATCTTATATATAGTTGTTACGACCACTTGTGAAAACATTTACTACCATTCGCTTTACACTAGTGTGTTTTTCTTATCTGAACTAAGTGCGTACAGGGATCCATAGAAGATGATCGACTTCTAACCTACTTCATCACATTATCCTTCCGGAAATTATTCCGTGCATCGAAGATTAACTTTTGTTTCCATGTAATGAGATGTTTCTTGTGGACAGAGGGGTGATCGATAGTGATGGATGTTTTGCTTATATTGTTTGTAGTCAGAATAACAACTGGCTTATTATGAAATGTTAAGCTTACCGAGGTAAGTCAAGTAGGCATTGCCAATAAAGGCTTTTACGTGACTGCGTAAAAGTTTGAGTCACCTCGCTGCCTCTCAGTGATATCTAGTCTCCATATCCTTCATATGGTATCAGGTGTATATGTTAAATACTAAACAAAAGTGTTTCTACATCATGCAGAAAATGTATCAGAAAGCTTATTAGGCATGAACTAAAGCATTCCTGAATTACCTATTCCCGATAAATGGGAAGCTAGAATTTTTTAAATAGCTAATCAAGTAATGTCTTCTAATTGACAGGTTTATGGAGTTTCCTGTGGTTGGTTGCATTTTGTTTGCTTTGTAATCGCTGGCAAAACACGAAACCAGATTTTCTTGCGCATAATGCTGTTTCTGCCGATGGACCTCGTAGTGCCATTGCCTTCACATTCTTCACAATGGTTGTATGGGTAAGTTCCAGAGAATCATCAGAAACCAGTTAATATCTTGCTTAGGTTTGTTTTATTGTTTTTTTTTAAAAATTAAGTCTTTCGTTTAATAAACAAGATAAGCAATCCTTAAGTGAGAGTAAAACCGTGATTTCACACATCGCTTGGTTACATACTGATATAAATTTTAAGTATTTCCTTTATGAGCTTCAAAAGTTGTAAACTGCTGTGTTTTTGTATTTTGGCTGAATCAACAATTTGATCAGCCAAGATTAACTTAAGTTGTTTCTTATTATCCTGTCTACTTATTATTCTGTCGTCACAACAATAGCCAGCTTTTCATAAAATGAATAAGCCTATTCCGTCAAAAGTATGCATAATCGGTCGCTGTTATCAACCGATAATCGAAAAGAACCGAACTGAAATGCTGATTTGTTTCATTTAAAAATGACCTAATCTCATTAGTAGAATGTAAAACATGAATGTGAAATAATGTTCTTTTATTCGTCTTTAGATTATTCTGGGATATTTTACATACAAATCATATAAGTCAACTGAAGCACTGTGTTCTAACCTTGCTTACGGAGAAACTGATAATTCACCCGGCTATCACGGATTTTCCAATGACGCAAATATGCTCGATGCAACTGGGCCAGGACCATTGGATCCCGACACTCCTACTGGGCATGCAAATATGGATTATCATGTCGGCAATATCCGAACGGGATTTGGCGGTGTGTATTCTGGTGATACAATGGGTGGATATCAACCCTAAGAATTTTTCCTGTTTCAAGAATAGATTCCATTGTGACGTAATGTCTCTGAATTCGCTGTAGATTTGTGAACATTTGAAGTGCTGTTGATTTTCGAACATGTGATTCTGTTTTGTTCTCTTGGTTTTGCTGTTGTATTATTCATGTTGCCTTTTCACCTGTATAAGCACACTTATATCACCATTCTTTGTTATTCACATTCACTCTAAAGTTTTCAGCAGAGAATAATTTGTCCCGTTCAATTTTTTTTTCTACGGGTTTGTTCACACGCCTATCGGCAAAATTATGAAATAACTTTTCGAAAGCAATAACGCTAACAGTTGGTTGTTTTGTTTTTGTAATCTTGGGACTTTCAGTTGCTTGTTTTAAAACCAGATAATTCTTTTGTTAGTTTTCACTAATTAGGGAATGTTATCCGTGGTTGTCCCATCTTCACATAACGGTACTATGTAGTTACGTAAGGTGTCAAAGAAACCAAAATATAGTTGGCTATATCGATTACGATAAAGATAATGTGACTAAATATCTGCAGGTTTGTTCTATAAAATTGAGTGTATTTACCTAGAATGGATTTTGGTTACTGCCTAGAGAAAGCGGATGATTGCCCTTTGGAGACAATTAAAGCACTTTTGATTCATCTGTAGTCATTCCTTTGGAAGTACCCTATCACCTACATATTTTTTCTTACTTATTCTCCAGGTGCGTCAGTGGCACAGCGGTAACATGCTCGCCAACCACTCATGTGGTACGAGGTTCGATCGTTGACCGACGCACTAATCCGATAATAAGACTGGTGAAGAGGGAAGGGTTGGGCATGAGGCAGGCAACCCCATCCCACTGCTATCGAAACTTCAAGCCTTTAGCTTGAAACCCTATGTCCCACTAGAAACGTAAAGGAATAAAAAGAACTTTCCAGGAGTCCAGGAACAAATAACCCCATTATTATCAGTACTTCTTAATACAAGTTTTTTGGTTGATCTTCTCTAGTTGATTCGCTGTGCAGATATACAGTCATGTCTACGTTAAATCTCTGAACCAAATAGAACCACCGACTTGATATTGATTTTGAAAATCGGGATCCTGTACTGAGTGCTACTGAACTCCATACCAATTTCAGATTAATGAAGGTCTGTCTTGCTTTTCTGATCGTAACTGGCTGTCGCATCCGTATCCGTGTGTCTCCTGTAGTTCAAATGATTCTGTCCAGCTAAGTGAAGGCGACAATATACTTTAGGTTACTCTTGTGGATGGTGATCGTCACCTCTGTCCTCACTGCTTCTTTCCCAAACTTCATGGTTCTCGCTTGTATAGCTTAGAGTTTATGCTACATGAAATAAACCACCCGTGAACTAATTGATGTATGAGATGATTATGTCGCTGTTTAAAGAGGTTTATTATGCTTGAAGTACTGCATTCCGTTCTGTTGAGGAATTCTGTAGGTGGTCTTCTAAAAGTTGAAGTTAAGAAACCGAATTGACTACCCTCTTATACTCTGTTTGATAATAATGCTTAGTCTCGCAATTTGGTTCACTGAGGGTAGTGCGATTTAATATTTTAGTTGCAATAAACAGAAGCGCGTTCAGTACCAGTTCTTGTTCAGACATAATTCCCCATTCTTAGGCATTTTCTCTCGGTGGCCTGCCAGTCGATACCTTTCCCTCCTTGCATACCTGCAGCAGCACTGCGATCGTACCCTCCGAGGTCTCTGGATTCGTCTCCAGTGCTTCTGAAAGGGTTTCCTTGTGGTTTTTAGTAACTCAAAGGTTTACAGGACATATGCTTTAGTCGAAGATTGGTTTTGACTGGTGGTTCTGCGTCTGCTGACTGTTTATTTGGACGAGGGGAAAGTTGTCTATTCCAGAGTCCTTTGAAATAACAAACCAAGTGTTTCCTCTCTTTTCATTTCGGTGATTGGTTTTCCTTCATCACTTTTCACGCGTCTCATCTGCGTGAATCCCTTCCCTTTTAGAGACTTGGTCATTTAATGCAATGTTGTGGGGTCTGTTCTTCTTCATTTACTTTTGTGTCGTATAAACGTCTCTTTCCCTTCCCAGCACTTTTCTTCAGTCCTTTGTTCACGATGTCAGCAGCTGAATTACGTCTATCACTTTATCACTTAACTTCCGCCTGGATCTGGTGCAACTCCTACCCTAATTCAAGTTATGAAGGTTGAAGTAATCACAAGCGACAGCGAGGAGTCTGAGTTTTCTAACTGATTATTCATATAGGTCAAGGATAAAAGGGGACGGTGAAGTGCAATTTTTCCCTTGTCTTTATCCATAAATATATAATGGAAAGCTTTCCACTCATTTTCATAACCAATGTAGAAACTTAATTTGCAATAGTACTCAACAAAGAAAGTTTTCATTTACTACGTGTTTGGATGTTGATATGTACAACTGACTGCTGACAATCCAAGTTTAACATTCATATCACCCATTAGTTTTGATATCTACACCTGGAGTTTTATACATTGCTACTCGCAGTCGGCTGGTTAGTACTTTAGCCGAGGTTATAGACGGATAAAGTCAGATAGTAGGAATATCAGGATGTGTGAGTCATACTGCTTTTGTTGTCCCTCAGTTCATATAAATTAGTCATAATGAAAGTCTGTCCACAGCAAATGCTTTGTTTTAAACTGTCATTAGAACGCTGTTAAGTCTTCTCACTTATTTACGTTTTTACTACTAAGGTACACTTGTTCTACTTATTACATTAGTTGTACTTATCAGGGAGTTCTGTGTTTTGATGTTACTTTTTTAGTTTAAGGTGCTACCACTAAAAAGAATAGTTGTTGCGGCTACAATGTTCACTAACTAAATGCTTATAAAATGCCAGTGATTAATGAAGCGAAATTGTACAGAGTGGTATGTCTGCATTCCTTATGAAACTCATTAATTTTATCAATGTTTTAAACCTTCAGTAGCGATTAGGCTTTTTCACGAAACTTGGTTGCTAATTCGACACCTAACCTTCACTCTTTTTCTCCCTTAAGAACACCAGGTAAGGTTAACTTCGTACTGCAGTGAAAAGTGTATCTCTACGATTATGGAGATAGCAATATTTCTCGTAATTAGTGTTCACTGTCAGTCATGAGTTAAATGGTTTGTCCACGTTTTCGTATGGCGAACTGTATCCACACGAATTCCATAATTTTTTCAAGTCATCTAGAAATTTCAGTATTTACTAGGGTTCTTCAATATGACGTATTATATAGTTATTCCGATGAACTCATCATTGGTAACTGGTTTCAATTATGTATTGAGTCTGTAGTGGGGGATGGTAATAATTTTATAAAAAAATACAAAGTAAATTTTCATAGTCTCATTTTTAAATGTTTTACTAGATTAACTTCCTATTCACCTGCAGTTGAAATAACTAGCGAATTTATGCTCACAGGCGAAACCTAATCAGCTGACACGAGGTTGATTTCAGTTGAGCCGATTCTTAAATTGTTTAGCTGCTACTGATATTCTCAATTTTATATATGGAGGAATTAATATAGTCAAACGTCAGGTAAATAAACTGCCATGTCGCCTCGACATTCCTTGGGTTGGATTTCAATAGACTCGGCAGTCACTAGGTCATCATGTTTCTTCATGTAGTTACTCTACCTCCCGCATATTTCCACCGTATATGGTTCTTTTGAATTTTCTCCACATTTATATACTATATGGAGTGTAGTTATTTGAACTTCTGTGCAGAGTTCCAAGTTGGAATCAGTATACTAACGCCTTAACTTCAAACTTAAGGTGCTTGTATTAATTATAACTGGTCTTAAATACAATCACTAGGTCCAGTTGGGCAAGTAAGAAATGAGTTCTCTCCGCACACTTTTTCGTTCACCTAAACTATCAGATTAAACGTTGTTGTCATAACCATATTCACTCATTAGTTGCTGTCAACGTCTCTGAAATTACACTTTAGGCCACCGAGTTCAGGTATGATAAGTGTTTGAGAAATTCCTGATGCATCGTCTTCAATTCGTAACGCTGAATATCCCATTGATGTACTGGGACTACGAATCGATCCTGCTGGCTCGCTGTAAACAACGGAATTACAGAACTGGCCTGTTCATGCCTTAGTTCTGATGTTCCTTCGGATCACTTGTGTTAATTATTTTGCTGATTGGCTCAAATTTGTGCACACCTATTACACAAACTTCAAAACAGCTGAACGGCGTAGTACAAATTTTCAATACCTATCTCCTATAACAACCGTCCTCAGCAGCAACTAAAAAACTGATTGACTTTAGCTTTAGTGAAAGTTTTAAGCACCACACGTTTAGGGTCAAAAGATTATCATTCCCAGATCAGTGGTATGATACATCAATTCCACCGATAGTCAAAGGCAGTTCAGTCAAGTACGATTGTGAGTCAGCTTGTTTAGCCAGTTCCTTAGTCTTCTTTAGCATTGGAAATTCGTCACAAGCTAACAATTGGTGTACTTTTGCACGAGTGGTATGTGGAACCATTTAAAGATTTCCAGAAGGACTCCTTTCCTCACTCAGTTCTTCATGGTCTCTCAAATTCAAGTCATAATTCAGTCGGCTGATGAGTTCGGATCAGAAACTTGTAAGACTGTGTTTTGTTGTTTAGGCCACTATGATGTCGCTATTAAACAATACTGACCTACGCGTATTAACCTGTACGATCTCTCATAAAAACGAAGCCGCAAATGGTGGACCTAGAAAGGGAAAAAGGCTTATGGGAATTATAAGTAATTTGATAGGTCTAGAGTAGTCCAGGTAGTAGTTATAATTCTAAAGAGATGTTCTGTTAACCATATGCTCCCTCGACAGGTTTTTCATTCAGATTGAAACATTTCAAATGTTCAAACTGACAAAAATGAATTGCTAGTTAGGATATATGCTTTCATTATATGTAGGGTTTTATTCGCTACTGAACCTTATTGAATGCTTAATAACCTTCTCTGTTTCACACACTTACTACCTTTTATAAATTCGAATGAAGTAACGACAGTGGTGCGTGCGAAATAAGATGGTATCATTTATGGTGAAACTCCTTTAATTAATGTCTCCAAACATTTCGAATTTGAACACTATTAATTTTGGCGTCTCCTGCTGACTGATATCACGTCACCTTTGCAAGAACGTTAAAATGTTCTTTGTACATATATTTTGTTGATCTTTTAGGCTGTACTCGGCTGAAGAGAGAACGACAAAATAACTGGCGATATCACTTTATTCTGCACAAACCACTGTTTTTGCTTTACTCAAACCTTGATTTTTCTGTCTTGGATTCCTTATCTTCACTTGCCCACCAGCAGGCTAAGCGAATTCGCCTTCTAATGCAACTGCTGCCCTCCTGGTTTATCTATACCATTATTAGATTAGTTTGTCATTAATTCCGTACAAAAGCTTAGTTACTGAAATGTAATTGTAACGCTAGGAAAGGACTATCCATGAATTGTAGACAAACTAGCTGCAATTGCGAAATGGAGAATAAAGTGTTCTGTTACATATAAACCTTCAGCCAACGAACTCTACTTTCAAAGATATCTTGCAACTTATTGATGCTAATGGCTTATTCCATTGTGGTGATGAGGCGTTGGAATTTGAGCATTAGATTGTCGTGGTAGCATCAGAGTAAGAAGTGTGGTTT